CCCCAAAACCCCAAAACCCCAAAACCCCAAAACCCCAAAACCCCTTAAGTATATTAACATGTTGTAAGAAGCTATCAAGTATTAATTATTTAATAATGGAGCCTCTTAATCATCTTCAAGCATTTTTTACATCTGTTGATTCTGCATAATTCAACTCTCTAGTCGTTGCACTAGAGGAATGCCAAGTTAATTCAAACAAAATTTTAGAGATTGAAAAATCAATAAAGCAATCAGTTCAGGATAATTAGTATCAACAGAAAGTATTCTTGACTCTTTGCTCTGTTTATCTACTTTATGATCAAAATCAGTCAATATAGTGGCTATCTAGTATAATCTTAAAAAACACTTTAAAGGATAATATTCTCTTTCTTAAAGAGAAAAATACTGAAGAGCTCAAGCTTATCAAATAAGCTCTCATTGCTAGACTAATCAATGATGGTGCAAACTTATTTAATAACAATGTTAAGCTTCAAGAGGAGTTCTACAAGATATTGAGTTTGATTATTGTTAAAGAGTTTAATCTTGATTCCAATGATACACTTCTATTTTAAGAACTAATTTCTTTGTACTAAGCATAATACAACATGTAAGTATCAAATATGACTAATGAAATTGTATAGACATTCATTGAAAACTGTGATCCAAATATTCGAAGAGGGAGATGATGATAGATTTTGGAAGTTTATCCCATCAATCATGCCTGCTACTCTAGTTTACCTTTAAAATGTAAGCTATTAGTACAAAGATAATTGTATTCGTTAGATTAGAGAAAACAAGCTTTTGTATTTAGTATGGTAAATGATTCAACATGTATAATGGTCAGTTGGTGTTGACCAAGACGCCCTAGAAAAATGTCTTAACATAGATACAATTAAAGCTATTCTAAATCAAATCCTATAAATAAACTTCAATCATATCTTATTGATCAATGGAGAAGTTAACGTATAGATTATTTAAGAAAAGAGATATTGTTCAAAAATTCTAACACTCCTATTTAGAGACTTCATGAACACCAAAAAAGTTAAGCCAGAAGCTTTAAAATATATCAAAGATGTTTATCTAATAAGCATGAAGAATTTGGTGTATTTCTTGCCATTTTATTTGACCACTTATACATTCAACCAAGATTTAGACAGTATTGATGAAGATTATGAGATAGAATTTTAGGGATTTGTAGTATAAGTAATTTCACTTATCTCTACATTAATATCACTTCATCATAAAGTGGTACTCAAAGATCTTAAAAGTGTCAATGAGTAATTGTTAGTTGTGATGTTCTCTTACTGCATTAAAGGAACTTAGACAGAAAAGATTTTTGCTGATGACAAGAATCAATTTCTGATTGAATTCCTTGATTCCGAAGAAAACTATGAGAATCAGGTTTCAATTAGATCCTCAGTTTGTGATTTCCTCGAAGATGCATGCTAACACTTTGAGTTTGATAGAGAAATTCTTGAAAAAATCATAGCATTATTCGTGTAAGACTCATTTAATGTTACAGTAGAGATGTCAAACTTAGCATTCCAAAAAATTAAGAGTATCAACTCAATTACCAATATTGACCCAAGCCAAGATACCTTTTTAATCCCTGGCTATACAGTAATGAAAGTAGATGTTGGTTTCTTTATAATTGGATCAATGCAGGATAGTCTGAACATCCCATCATAACTGATTGATCAATGTATTAAGTATCTTAATAATCCTGAATGCCAAATTATTCTTAAGTTGAGATCATTATGGTTACTCGAAAAGCTAAGTGACAGTTAAGTAGTCAGAAAACTTAAAGATTCTATTGGCAGACAAGTATTTTAGATTATAAGTGACCAATTTGTTAATTCACAAGATTTTGTCCTAAACTACCAATGTATAAAAACTCTCTACAGATATATTAAGTTGATTGATATAAAGAGCTCTTATCCAGAAAACTATTAGGATATGCTAAGCATCTTTATGCAAAAGCATGCTACCATTATCCCTCAATGCAGTGATGAGACTATACACACTCCTTTAGAAAGTCTAGCTTTTCTTTCAAAGATTGATACCAGTTCATGTCTAAAAGTCATTTAAGAAGTAATGCCAGTAATAATGGATGCTTATCAAAAATATTATCAAGATGGTATTATTGGCTCAGACATTGTAGAGATCATTAAGATTTGGGCTAGACTTCCCAATAATGATATATTTTCAAAGATTTTTCTACCATAAGTAAATTAGGTGATCACCCAGTACTATCAATATACATGCACAAATATAAATGCTATTGAAGCTCAAAAGATGCTAGATTCATCTATTCTCAAAGTAAGAATAAATACGAATAATTATTTTAGAATATGCTCAGCATTTTGACATCATATATTGTGCAAAGCAAGCAAAGGAATTTCGACTAGGAGCTAGTTCAAATCCTTAACTATATGTTCATGATGGAACTAGAAATACTTAATGTTTCAAAGGATATATATGTCTGCATTTACACTATCCTTTCACTATCATCTTTTGCTTAAGCTGTTCCAGATCTTATTAAACAATATAACCCTTAGATAAATATGGTCCTTAAGAAAATTTTAAGCTACCCTGGTGGTTTAGATGAGAGTTCTTTACTTTATATTGGTCATTTTATTCTCATACTAGTTTAGAATGGAGATATTGACAACTAAACTTAATAATAAATCCTATTGATATTGGTTTAGAGACTGGCTAAATCAATGGTGCCCTCCACTACAAAAGTAAATATCCCTTAATTAAATATTTTTAGAGTTTCCTAATTCCAATAGCTACAAGTATCATTCAGTATGGAAATTAATCTTTGAATTTTTTGATTAAAAATTCTGACATTAATGATGTAAAGAGTATGATTCAAAACTGGATATCATATAGCGCTCATTTCCAAGATAGCTTTTCAAAAGAAATGAGTAAAAGAGGACTAGTCCAATTGCTTGAGTATACTAAGCATGATCTAGATTTCGCTAGTCTTTAAATCCACCTAAATGAGTTTTCAAAATAAAGTAAAATTTCTAATCTTTATAGTATAATTTATAACAGAAATAATGGTCCAAACAAAGTTGGTTCAAGTCATTGCAAGAGATTTGATCTACTCAGAGTAAAACAATAAAAAGAAGTCATAGGTGAAAGGTGTAGACTATGAAGTTGTAGATGATGATGAGGATGATTTATCAGTGGATGATGACGACAGTGCTGATGGCAGTGCTCAAATGAAACAATAGAAGAAAGAATTCTAAGGCGCAGATGACGATTTTGAGGACCTTGATGATGAGTTTAATGATATTGGCTCTGCTGGAAATGATTTGCATTCTGGAGTAGAAAACTAAGATGAGGAGAACTTATTAAGTTCATATCTTGAGAAATTTACTTAGGGTCCTGATATTAAAGTCCTGACTTCTTAAGTTATTAAGAGTCTTGGAAAAGAAACCTTGATTAAGATTGTTAATACAGTTACGGATGACGGAGATAGTCTATTCTCAAAGGCAGAACAAGATGCCTTGCTCAGTCTTTGAAACTGATTATGGAAAAGCTAAAGCTATTTATTAGGTTAATGATTAATTAAAAAAATTCAAGATTATTATACTTCTTTTAAAACTTAAGCATATTAATAAGGTTTAGAAATTCGTTATATTCTAATTTAATATTTATCATTTTCATTTAATATAGTAAAGAAGCTTGAATGAGGTTTATTCACTATGACTATTGCAGAAGATTCAATCTACTGTCCTCTCTAGGTGAAGTTTGCATAGAACTACTCTGCTACTACTTAAAGCCCAGCATGAAACTCTATTGACTGGGAGCCATTTTGAATAATACTTTCTTATCCAAACCAGTTTTAGTCTAGTATTGGCTCATCACTTACTCTTGCATCATTTTGGTATGTTATAATCTCTGGAGGAGTTCCATTTCTTTAACACTTAGTTCAGCAATCTTTCTATTTTTTTCCTCTGTCGCAGCCTATGTATCCATATGTTTCTTCATATATTACTCGGTTCTTTCCAATTCCATAAATAATTTCTAGTCTTTTCTCATTTATGATCCATAGTTTTTATTTTGCTTTATGCTCTCCGAAATGTCTCTCTTCTAATTCTAAATATCATCCAATTCTAGATTAGCTCTTTGAATAAGTACGTGAATACTGTGATCTATCTCTTCCTTATTCATGGCTTTCTCTTAACGTATTTTATCCTTGAGCTCTTTCATCCTTTGATCTTTCTCAATCTTATCTTAAATCAACTTTTTTCTATAATCATCTGTTTGTCTCTCTGTGAGAGTTTTATGATCCTAGATCTAGTTTTTAAGCTGATTTTTGAAATCTTAGATTCTCTAGTATCTTTGTGTTCGTTCAAGGGTTTCTTGAATTTTTTTCTGGGCCCTAATTTCCTCATCTTACAGCTTTTTAATTCTATTTTCCATTAATACAAGGTGATACTCTGTTTCTCTATCTTTTCGAACGGTTTCAAACATTGCTGCTCCTTCGTTCTTACGGTGAGCATGTGGAGTTACACTTGATACATAGGGAGAATGATCAAGAGACGAGTGAGTAGCTCTGGTAATTTATGTACTTAGGTCTGAGTGTTTGAGGACTGATGGGAATTTGATGTCATGCCTTGAACTCTTCTTAAGTTTATCTTTTAGTCTTGCCATTATATAAGTTTTTTCTGATTAGTCCATACTCTAGCCAAATTAGTTGATGTCTAATTCTGACTCGAATAATGAAAGATTATGCTTCTATTTTGGTGCTTTATCCTTGATGGAATGATAATTGATGTTGTCAAGGGAAGAATTCAAATTCTTTTTATTGCGAGCTTGACTCATTTTTATAGTATTCTTTTTTAATAATCTTAATTAATACTTAAAATTAATAAAGTTATACTTATTTTAATTGTCTAAAACTAAAATTTATAAAAGATCTCGATAATTCTATAAAATTCATATTAGCTGAATTGTCAGATTAGATCTCATATTCTTGAGATCCATCTTTAGCTGCATTAGTGATTTCAAATTACTACTAGCCTTAGCGAGCTATCATTATATTTCTTTAGCAGCTATATTTGTTCATAGATTTTACTCTAGTTTTTGTAATGTACCTGAAACGCATAAAATTCCTCCTGAGTTGGGACCTATTTTTCTTGGAGCTTTTCAGGAAGATGTTCCTAACACGGTACAGCAAAAAAAATGGCTATATATCGAAGCGACTTTTTTATATCAGCTAATCTAATGTCGCAAAATGACTCAATGAAATTGATGAACATATGAAAATGCTCAGATTATTCATCACATTCGAAAATTTTGTTAAAGATATAATCCCCAAGATTTTAAACCGCCTATCCATGGGAATTAGACTTATTTTAATAGTGAATGTCAAATGACTGATGATCTAATACTTGAAAAGACAAACTAAGCTCAATTATAATTGCAGAAAGAGCTAAGAGACCTTAATTAAATTCGTAATGATCAATATCGGTTATTGCTAGATCAAGAGCTTGCATCACTCTTCTGAACCTGGAATAATCTCTATTTTCATCACTTTTGAATATAGGAATCGGATCGAGCTCAGGGTCCTGTTATGAATAGCTGATCAATCGAAGTGCTAAAGGATTTTCATAGACATATTAATCCCATTTGAGCATATAGAAGTTAGCCCAACTATTCAATGTAAGAGGATTGAGAAGCCATTTAAGTTCAATGAGAATAGATGTCTCTAGCAGTAGCATCTACTTTAGGTTGCAATTTCCTTATGTGATTTCAGCATACTGATTGAATTTGGGAAAATAAATTTCTTCAAGTTTCGAAGCCATCAAAAGGCAAGTTATTCCAAGTGTCTAGTATTAATCAAGATCTAGTACTTTACGCACTAATAAATATCGATCTATATAGTTAACTGCCAGTTAATAAGTTTAGCGCTTCAAATGAAAGGTATCACTAACTTCCATTAACCATTCAATTAGTATCTATCTATTTCTAGGGGTAATTTGAGGATTAAGCTTTTTTATAGTATTTTTATCTACCTTATACTACTCAGCTCTTTATGATAGGTATATTAATGTACTCTTTTAGTACGATAGTTAGAATTTACTCAATTAGGCTCTTTACTTTTATTATGCTTATGATTCCTATTATTTCCTCTCTTTTTCCATCTCTAGTTGTAAGACACTTAAATTTTAATTTGAATCCTCGTCGATTACAAATCCAAGTTAGCCTTCATCTATTGCGAAATTGCTAGATGTTGATTCTATTCTATTAGTTTCTTGACTTATATTTATGCCTTCAAGCTCATTTTGGCTCAATAGCACTACTCCTTCATCTAAATTTTGGCGCTCTTATTCTTGTTCTTGGTCAAACTATTCATGTTCAACACTCATTCTTTCATTCCCTACCTCCTGTGATTTTATTTCCTTCGATTATTGATTGGGATTTATAACAGATTTAGATTTGGCAAATTATCTCAGTTTCCGTTTTTATACCTTCTGATTTTTTGTAATTTTTGGGTCTTTTGAAATTCTTCGGCTAATATTGGACTTATTGCTCTTTTCATCTTGTTTAATCTCCTCTAGAATAGATCTTTTACCACCTATTCTCTTAACTGTCTTTGGGAGGTAACTGTTAAAACCTGCCTCTATTTGCTCCTGATTCTTTTTTTGTATCTAACTCTACTACAAACTCATAGCCTAGTCTGCTCTTGTTTTCATATAAAATCAAATTTAAAAATATTATTGTTCAGTTGATTATTTTATCAATAATAAATTATCTAAAATGGATTAGAGAGTCGACTTAATTAAAGAGCTGGTTGATAACGTCAAAGAGAAATAATCTATTGACAAGCAATTCAATAGTTTCAAGATTGATGGCACTAGAAAAAATAGTAAAAGGTCAAGCATTTTGGCCAACGACTAAGCCTATATTGATCCAATGAAAGTAACTAAGCAAATCGCAAAAAATAAGGAGATCTACCACGGCAAATTACAACAGTACGATTGAATTAATTATCATTGTTAGATTTGATGACTATCTAAAGAACAGGGAATAAGAAAAGAGAGATTAAAATGAGAAGATAAAGGAGGAGATCAAAAGCATGATTAAGGTAAGGAGTGAAACCATCATACTAAACTTACTTTCTAAATTTTACTAATTTATAGTTGAAAGAAGATGATGAAAGTGTAGAATAATCTGTTGAATCATAGGAAAATTCTAAATCATTGAGAAATGCTTGGTTTCATAAATACTCTAAAAGTAATCTACCTCAAAGAAAGAAGAGAATCCTCAACATTCATCTTGAGAACTAGAAAATTGTAAAGAGGCTGATTGATATCAAACCTCATCCAGATATAATTTTACTCAAATAAACTACTCAACCTTTGGATTTGAGTACAATGCCATAGAATAATACTGCGAATGGAACTTAGAGATAAACTTTCTTGAATACTTAGAGAGACTTTATGAGGGATAATAAGGGAGCCGCCTCACCGTTTGAAGAACTAAGTAAAATGCAAAATGAGTCATTTATGATATAAAAAGAAAAGAGCTGTTTAAGTTTCATTAATGATTCACTAGGGGTAATTGAAGAGACTAAAAATAGTAAGAGAAACTCTATGGTCAATACGAGTAAAGTATTTCGCAGGAAAAATGATAAAAATCTATCCTAACTGGGGTTATACAACTTCGAGCACAGTTCGAGGCCAACTACTTCTACTTCAAGAAGTTAAGCTACAATGAAAAGACCCTCTACATCACAGGTCATGAAAAATGGGCTACAAAATGAATTGAAAAGTCTTGATCTATCTAAATTGGCGATTAATCCAAACTAGACTCAAGGATCAAGGTCTAATCCTTGGCTTAACAATTAAAATAATTCAATAAGCCAACAGTAATTTGAGCAGACTAATATTGTAAACACAGAAAGATAAAATTATGCAAATCAGAGTGAAGTAGACTCTTTCCTTCAGAGGATTCCAAATACTGCAAGAGAGACAGTTAAAGAAGATAATAATCAGACTTTGCAAGAATTCGCTTAAAAGAAGTCTTACACGAAATTCAAAAAACTTCTGGAGTTAAAGCACGTTAGAATACCCAAAGATGTTTCTGCTGTTGGATTTATTTAGAAACAGAAGTTCATTAACAATTCAGTGAGATTAGATCAGGAATCTTACGAGATGAGCAGAACAAGCAGACTATAGAAGAAGATAGATGATTATATAAATCAAGAGAAATCTATGTTGGTAAAGAAAAGAGATAAATTTATCAAAATGTAATGACATTTAATGATTAATAAACATGCTAACAACTGTTAAGGAGCTGATTATATTTATTCCCTAGTATTAATTATTACATCATTTTCACTAAAGTATTTTCAATAGTAATTTCTGTTGACTTGATTATTCCTAACAATATCAGATGATCTCGGCGAGAGATCTTTGCTTTTATAAGAGTTGGATTTATAAGAGCTTCCTCCTTCTCCATACGACTCTCTGTCATTAACAGTGTCTTCAAGTCTTGGTTTTTCTACAGTGCTAAGATATTTATTGTTTATCCAAGAGTCTGGCAATAGGTCTGAGAGACTCATTCCTTAAAGAAATCCTCTTCCACCGCTTGCACCCAAAACTTATTGACCAGTGTTTTACAATAGATTTTTATTGCTTTTACTACCTCCCATCAATTAAGTCTACCAAATCCCATCTTTAAGAACTTCTCCCTATTTACGCCCGAATTTCAATGTCTAGTTGTCAAGGTAATACTTCTAATGTTGAAGATCCTTTTGCTGATTTATCATGTATTAATCATAATTCTTATATTTTGGAACACTCAGTTTATTAGATCCCATTGCAAAATTAGGCTTGATGTTTAGAGTGGTAACATCATAAACAATATCCTAGAGCCTTCGAATTTCCTTTTCTCGTTCCTCTATTTTATTTTCCTAATCTTTCAACTAGAGTAAGTGATCTTTCTTTTCTTGCTTAAGATTGTAAACTTTGACTTATAACTCTCGCATTCTCACTGTACGCTCGTAAAGCTTCTTTCTCATTATGTATACTTCCTTATCCATCTTAAGTTTATTCTCTAATATCCTTATTAGATTATAGTCAATCTCTACTTTAATCCTCTTTTCAAGCTCTTAAAGATCATCTTCTTTGACCATAAACATTGCATATTCGTCATAAAGCTGATTAATCTCCTGATTGATTCTAGCTAATTTGATCTCCCTCTGAATATGTTCTTCCCTTAAATCATCATTATAAACAGCAATATTTCTTTCCATGATTCTTAACCTGTTGATAATCAGTGAAAGGATCTATAGAGTTTAGGTATCTGGCTTCAGATCAATGTCATCTGGAGTTGGAGGTCATACAACTTTTATGGGCTCATTTATGGTTTATTGCTAATCTTTACTTTCCTCATCAACCTTCTTTTGTTAATCATCTAGCTTAGGTGGTTGTATAATTTCTTATTCATTTGGTTTAGTATTCTCGCCTGTCTAATTTTAGACTTGTATCTCAGCTGGCTTATTTTGTAGATTTGTTTACTTTTACTACTCTGAACTAGGTTACTAATTTTCCATTTAAAAAATGATATTAGAGAAGTTATTGATTATTTCAATTTAATCAAAGAATAGTTGTTGCTATAATAATTTAATTTGAGGCTTGATTTAAAGAATGGAAGGAAATAATAATCAATAAAGTGGAGGTCATGCCATGATCGGAGATATTAATCCTTTAGAAGTATCTCTCAGTAGATAGCAGGAAATGATGAAAGGCTAGAATGCTTAATAAGAATTCCACAACTTATTGCAGGAGTATATGGGTAAATATAATTAGTTTTAAGACAATAATAGAGAAAATTTAAAGGAAAAAAGCATTCTTAACCTCTATGTCGCATTGTCTTTTATCGTAAATTTATTGGGTTAATTTTCTCTTTAGCCTAGTTACTGCTCCTTTATTGACTATAAATACTGCTCTACAATAGTCAGTTTTAGTGAACTCTAAAGTTATCTAAGATTTTCAAGTCAACTCTGTCAAATCAGCGGGTTAAAAATTGAGAGAAAGAACAACATCAAAGAACACTTTTAGGTTTGCCCAATTAAATGCTTTTAATAGAGATAAAGCATCTTCAATGAAGCTTAATTCTTAACTAGGTAGGTAAGACTATAGTCAAGTATTCTAATCTATTTTTCTCAGGTATGAACCTACCTTATGAAGCTCCAGTTTATCGATCCTATTTTGAGGCTTATCTCGGTCTTTACAAACAAGGAATAAGAGGTTTCTATAAAGGTAATGGAGTGAGATGCTTGCATCTTGTGCTATTCCACAGACTTAATACTGATTTAACTTTGTATTCTGAATCTACTTTCCCACAGCAAGTTAAGTAGCTTAAGCAGATTCCAATTCTTTAAGAGCTAATGTTGAGTTGTGTTGTTGATTTTGCATTACATCCACTTCATGTTGCTGAAGCTAGATTCATCATGCAAAATAGAAGAAAGAACTTTGCCATTTATCAAAGTATAGGTGACTTTTTTAGGAAATCATACACTGAGATGTTTAGGGGTATCATTCTTCATATTCCAAGAAATATCTGTATAGCAATGAGTAAGAATATTCTTTGGAAATAAAAATATAGCTGGATTGAAGATCCGAAATGAATAGAATATTTATACATACTATGCATAGAGTATATTCTTTCAAACTCTAGCTTATCCATTCCTCACAGTTTAAAGAAGATTAGAGTGTTAGGTAAGATTAGTTTTATCTCATAATATTTTTAGAGTAATATTGGAATTGCCTTACTTAAGAATAATGAGTATAGTGGATTCTTTAACGCAATGAAGAGAATTTATTCTGAGGAAGGAGCGTTGGCTTTTTACAGAGGATATTCTGCTCACATTTTAGCTGTAAAAGCAATTAAATTTGATTCTTATAGATTATGCTCTGGATGAGTGTGCTTCCCAAGCTTACTGATATAATGATGAACAAAATACCTATATTGAGTGATATCATTGGAAACAAATCTGAGTCTCCAATCACCACCAGAGATCCATATGGCTTAGATGATAACGATGAAGATGATGATTGATTTGATAATTATTTCAAATAGCAGATTGCCAGAATTAATAAATTAAATTTCTTTAATGCTTTGTAATTTAAATAAATAAATATTTCTTAAATAAAAATGTCAACTGCTTCAGTTGCAAGAGTTATCTCTGAAGGTTCATAAATCATAGACTATTTCGAAGAGGAAAAAGAAAAAATTGAAAGAAAGAAGCTAAAGATGATGAGCAAAGAACCAATCAGCAATGATATTTTTAAGGCTGGTCTTTCGTGTTTGGGTAAGACGTTCAATAATGCTAGACATGCCTATCTCACATTGAACATCTAAAACAATAATTTGGTATCAATAGTGGTAAGTTTTAGATTAGAGAATATTTAATTTGCATTATGATATGAGAAATTGCTTAATCATTCTAAATCTATAGGGTATTGAAAGATACAAATATCTCCAGAACGTGGACGTTTCAAATAATAAGCTTATTCATCTGAAAGATTTATCTCACTTAAAGCATCTGATCAAGCTCAAAGCTTCTTGGAATCAACTCAGGAAAATGTTTGACTTTGATCCTCCAGCCAACCTTGAATGGGTTGATTATTCTGGGAATGCTATTAACAAGATTGAAAATTGTGATTAAAACATTTACCTTAAGTATCTGAACTTAGACAGCAACAATATTCAATAAATTGAAGGTCTGAATCACAATAAATGCCTTAGAGTAAGTTCAATTTTATATATATAATTTGAAATTCTAGACTTTATCATTAAATGGAAACTCAATTGATACTATTGAAAATCTAGATGGATTATTCATAGAGGAGCTGTTTCTTCAATCAAATAGAATTAGGAAAATTTCAGGTATAGAAAATCTCACTGTACTTAAAACTCTTGATCTTTCTAAGAATCAAATTAGCAGAATGAAGGGGATCTAAAATACAGAAAGTTTAAGGTTCTTATACCTTTCATTAAACTTAATCGGTAAAATTGGCCAGCTCGTTTACGTTGAAAATTTACCATTGCTTACTGAACTTGATTTATGCTTCAATCCGATTCAAAACAGGAAATACTATAGATTTTAGGTATTATTCCATATACCATAACTAAGATAACTTGATGGAGTTGAGGCTTTGAGCGAGGAAAAAATTAAAGCTGAAAACCTTCATGGTCTCGATCTTAACGATAGAGAGCTTATTTTCCAAAGTTTGTTACCAGAGGAGAAATTCGTAGATAGAAGAATTCATGTTTTGTAAGATATCCCAATGGAAAGTGAAAGCGAGCCTGAAAATATAGACTTTATTGAATAAAGAATTGATCCTAAGGTCGGAAGTAAAATTTACAAAATGTTTAAATTCATTTAGTGATTGGAGGATCGAGAGAGTTTAGCTCAATCGGCTCATAAGGAAGATTAAAAGGAATGAAAAATACCAATAGTGCTCATAGCATGGGCTCAAGAATGTCATCAGCCAGAAATAAGGGTCAGACTCCCAGAAGCTCTGTAGGTTAAGCAGATAAATATGTTGGTGAAATTCTCCATCGAGTTAACTTTGAAGATGGAAAATCAGTCAACTATTACCTTTAATATTGATTTTAATAAATTTGATTATTTATATTTGCTGAATTCAATTGAACGGGGTTTTGGGGTTTTGGGGTTTTGGGG